AAAACAGGATACGTCTCAAATGACAGACTGCTGGAAGTAAAACGTTCGGTCACTATGTACTGTATAGTGTCCTGAAATGTTCATGTAATGATCTTTTCTGCATCACTGCACCATAATCCTGCAGTTTATATAATCACATCACTGTATTAAAATCATTCAAATGATTTTACATCATGTCATTAGGCTTCACAGATCCATGTATGTCCATATTAAATCATTAAGCCCCGAGAGGCTGTAGATTCAGTGTTTTCACTCCAGTTAAAGGGTGTTTTAAAGGGTTAGTTCACCCCAAAATGAAAATTCAGTTATTATTTACTCACCCTCATGTTGTTCCAAACCCGTAAGTCCTTCGTTCATCTTCGGAACACGAATTAAGATGTTTTTGATTAAATGTGAGAGCTCTCAGACCCTGCATAGACAGCAACGCAACTGTAATGTTCTCAGATTCGCGCGCGCATGAACATAATCTGCGTAATCAGCGTTGTTTATGCTTAGGGGAAAGCGTGCGTATGTGTTGAGATACTCTAAAATGGCAGAAGACGTAACTCGGGGGAGAAGAGTTATTGAAAAAATAATGTTATTTTTGTTTTCTTTGCACTCATAAAGTATTCTCATAGCTTCGCAAAACTGAAGTAGAGCCACTGATGTCACATGGACTGTTTTACTGATGTCCTTACTACGTTTCTGGACCAGGGAACATTACAGTTGCGTTGCCACATGCAGGGTCTGAGAGCTCTCACATTTCATCAAAAATATCTTAATTTGTGTTCTGAAGATGAACAAAGGTCTTACGGGTTTGGAACGACATGAGAGTGAGTAATTAATGACAGAATTTTCATTTTTGGGTGAACTAACCCTTTAAAGGGGTCATATGATGCTAATTTAAAGATTATTATTTTGTGTATTTGGTGTAACAGAATATGTTGACATGCTTTAATGTTCAAAAAACACATTATTTTTCAAATACTGTACATTATTGTAGGTCCTCTATGCCCCGCCTCTCTCAAACACATTGTTTTCAACAAAGCCCCCTCCTTTGACAAGCGCAGTCTGCTCTGATTGGCCAGCTGACCCAGTGCATTGTGATTGGCCGAACACCACAAGCATGCGTCGGAAATGTAACGCCCCTTACCATAATCGCTTCAGCTTTCAAAGTATATGTCAAGAGAGTTAATAATGTCGTTAGTTTTACCATCAGTTCAAGCCCGAAAGGGCACCAGACTCGCGTGACAGACACAGTGATGCTGCAGTACACAAGCCTCGGTTAAGACAGCTGACGTGCTATGATTTCTGACAGACAGTTCACTCTCCTGTGATGTGACCCTGTTCCCCTCACACACACACACACACACACGACGCGTTACTCTGCGCTGGGCAAAACTCCGCATTTGACTGTACATTATTGTAGGTCCTCTATGCCCCGCCTCTCTCAAACACATTGTTTTCAACAAAGCCCCCTCCTTTGACAAGCGCAGTCTGCTCTGATTGGCCAGCTGACCCAGTGCATTGTGATTGGCCGAACACCACAAGCATGCGTCGGAAATGTAACGCCCCTTACCATAATCGCTTCAGCTTTCAAAGTATATGTCAAGAGAGTTAATAATGTCGTTAGTTTTACCATCAGTTCAAGCCCGAAAGGGCAACAGAGTCGCGTGACAGACACAGTGATGCTGCAGTACACAAGCCTCGGTTAAGACAGCTGACGTGCTATGATTTCTGACAGACAGTTCACTCTCCTGTGATGTGACCCTGTTCTCCTCACACACACACGACGCGTTACTCTGCGCTGGGCAAAACTCCGCATTTGAACACTACTGCTGTTCCTGAAACCACGCCTTCTTTCTTTGCGTGCACATTTGGGCGGCATTATGCTAATATTTCCACATCATGACGTAGATATGTGGGGGCGTGTTAGAACGAGCTGTTTTAGGTAGGTGTGGCTGACTCTTAACTTTTATAAAAAATATCTCTTTGGATTCGAGACTTTAGTCTTTGCAACTTTTCAGATCTTCTTTATGCACCAAGAGTTAACACTCCAAAGAGAAAGGAAAACTTGAAATCGCATCATATGACCCCTTTAATGTAGTGTTTACTAATTATTATTAAAATAATTGCACTTTTATACATTTTTATTTCATTTATTATACTTACAGACTGCACAGTTTATAGTAAAAACTATATATACTCACATAAAGTTAATGTGAATTGAAATTAGAATGAAATTATAATTAGATACAGGCACATATTGTTAATTACAGTGCAAAAGTACATGCTGTTTCCTGATATTCACAAATCAGGAAACATCACGGACTTTTGCACTGTAATTTTGTAACACCCCAAGGGTCCAGCAGGTGACTCTGTTGCACACTATATGAACGACACAAATATGTTTCATGCTTCCTGTCAGAAATTATCAGAATACTCGTCTTTTCCTTTCAGCTGATGATCTGTGTTAGAGGTGCTGAGAGTGTGTATGACCGCACATCCATGTCTGCCGTGTTCCTCGAGCGTGTGCGGCTTTCACCTGCTTGAAAGCTACTTGTTGAAATGTGCATGAAAACACAATGTGAGGAGGCGGGCTTAACTGCTCAGGGTGCTCAAATAACAAGCAGGCTTTCATTTGTCACACGCTCTTGACTGGATTCAATGCTGGGAGAATAAAAAAGCAAAATCATGCAATCATGTGTGTCCAGAGTCCAATCTTTCCATTTCCATTTATAGTTGCTGAAAATCTACTCACCCGCAGGCCATCCAAGATGTAGAAGAGTTTGTGTCTTCACAGGAACAGAGCAGTACATCAATTGCTCACCAATGGATCCTCTGCAGTGAATGGGTGCCGTCAGAATAAGAGTCCAAACAGCTGATAAAAACATCACAATAATCCACACCACTCCACTCCATCAGTTAACATTGTGTAAAGCGAAAAGCTGTGTGATTGTATGAAACAAATCCATCAAGACGTTTTCAAACCTTCAAGCCATCACTTCAGGCCAAAATGGGTTCATAATCCATAATACCGATTCTTCCAGTGAATAGGTCAAAATCCACATACATATTTGTTTAGAATGTGTTTCTATCATATTTGGGGTTTTATACAAAAATGCATATGTGTCTACCAATCTACAGGTTATTCTACTCATCTGTACCAAATTTGGCATATATCTAGTATGGAGTGTCATTACTTATATTCATCATAAACTCTGAATTCAATATAGCCACCTGAGGCCAAAGAAAACGGCAGGGTGTGGCATAATCTACTCACAGCAAGAAATCCTTTGAAAATTTCCTTTATGAATTGTATAAATCCTTAATGGCTGGTGGTGACTTGATAATGATATACTATTGGAAAATGTAAACATCGATGTACCCGTGCAACTGATAACACTGATACTCACTTAAATAGCCCACAGACCTATTTAAAACAACATTGTGTATTCCTGCATCTCCAGTCTCACCCAAAAGTATTGCAAAAATAATAATAAATGCACAATGAATATGTTTAATATGCATGACTATTTACGTATTTAACTGAACTAACATACGGTGGCTTCTGAACATCCTGGCCAACTCACATTAACTACCAGACGCCATATTTTCATATTTGTTGAGATGATTAACTGCACAAATAACAGATAATTTTTTCAGCACATTTTTGACTATTAAGCAACATCAGCAAGTTGTGAACAGCCATCTGTCTTGACATGCATGCATATTCCTCTAAAAACATGTTTAATTGTTGTTATGATTATTAAGTAATCTGTATAAATTAAACTAGCTACCTTACTGTTGCTTAATTTGATTACTTCGAAGCAAAGCATCTCTAGCAATATGGTTAACTTACTACATCAAAACATATTTTATACAGCTAACATCACTAATATTTTTTTAGGATGTAGGAGTTTATCAATGCATTCTCAAATGGTATGACGTTTAATTTAGCCTATAGCTGTTAAAACAACTTGCTCAAATACAATGACAAAACACACTTGTCTGGAGAATCCACCTTCATCACACACACTGTAAAAAATGACTGTGAATTTAACGGTAAAAGACTGTAAAAATGCTACAGCAAAAACCTGTTAAATGGTTAACAGTAAATTCCCCTACTATATATGGTGAAAAACTGTATTGGACATTACATGTATTGGACATAAATTTTACGGTAGTATCACGCTTTTGGAAGTGAAAAATACCGTATAATTTACAGTGGATAACCGTAAATTGACATTCCCAGAATTCCCTGCGTTACATTTCAAATTTGATGTTGTTTTGTTGAAATAACTATGTTTCTTAGTTTTTTCTTATCAGTTTTGTATATTAGGGTTGTGTGTCACACCTAATGTTGTTAAATGAATGTTTATTGTATGATTTCAGTTTCATGTGTGTTACCGTGATGGTGTTTAGTGTTTGTGTGAATGACACTGTGCAGCTTCTATATATGTTATTATTTAAAAGCTGCTTGTGATGGGCTTTGGTTCATCATGTGACTTTCTCATCACCTCCTGCATTTGGTGGTTATCAGTGTATTACAAAGGTACAAAACAGATTTCAGTACTTCAGTAGGTTGGTATATTAACATTATATCAGTTAATGAAATTATGGTATTTAACTGTAAATTTAAGTTAAAACTGTAAAACCTAAAACGTTGCTACCGTATTTTTTACGGTAAAATTCCGGCAACCACAGCTGCCGGTTTTTTACCGTAAATTTTACGGAATTTTTTTTACAGTGCATAGTTGCCTTTTGGCTGAACGTATGACAGAATTCATAAAAATGATCTTAATCAAGTTTAGAAGTAGGATCCTGAAACCAACGTGCTTGACAACAAACATTTGTTGAATTGTGTAATAAAAACGTTTGACTCCTAACAGCTATTGAGATAAAGTACATGAGAAGCGAGTTTCCTGAATTTCCCCATGTGACAACTTGCCCCGGTCTCCCTGCAGCATGCGTTCTGACATGTACAGTATGCACTTCCATGTAAGCCTTATCTGATCATGGATCTGCTGCGCGCGGTGTTTCGGAGCAGCAGCAGTGTATTGTACCGATGTGAAGTGAATTCGGCAGATGGCAGTATCTGTCAGACGCGTGAGCGCCTCAACAATGACACTCGCAACACTGTAACACCGAAACATTCTAACGCGGTGCTCGCAGATACAATGTATCGAACCCGACAGATGCTGCCGAGCCGAAGCAGAAACGCCGACGAGAATTAAACCTGCGATGGCTCTCCATTTCTCTCTCACGTCTCTCGGGGAGCTCCAATCGCTCGCTACTCGAACCGACAGCTAATACTGCCAGGCACAGGCGGCTGCGTGCGTTACACGGGGCTCATGGCGGAGTTTGTCGCCGAGAACTGCGGGGTCTCATCGCCGAGCGCTGGCGGGAAATCCGCCCAGCCCGGCGATGAGGCGGACGGCAGAGCTGCGAGCGAGGTGTCGGTCTCGAACGGGGACTGTGGACTGTGTGCACCCGAGAACCAGGGGCTCGAGACGGCCAACGCGTCTGTGGTGCCGGACGGCAAATCTGGAATACCACGGAAGGCCAGTATTATTAAGGTAAACGATCAATGCATCGGCGTTTTTCTCATTTGTGGGCTCTTTTTGTGCCAAACCTCGCGCGGATACACGGCTACATCCACAGGTTTGTGGGGGCTTATGGTACGGATGCACAGAAATCACAGCCCACTGTGAACATGTCATTGCTGTTTCCTCCGGATCATGTGTTCTTTTCAAGCGTTTTGCGATTTCGTGATGTACATCAGTCAAGATTAAGTCACGTGCATTTATTTATTTCAACTAACTAGCTTCTGTGTGTCTTATATGCCTAGTTAAGCAATCGGCTGTATCTTTTCAGGGATCTGTGGTTCACAGGTCAACTGTTCAGTCTAGTTGTTGCTTCTAATCCAATTTTAGTTAAAACTGCTCATTATTTCTTCTGTTAACAATCCCATTAGCTACTGGTATCTATTGCAGCTTTACTAATACTTGATAATGAGACAAATAACATCTAACCTAACTGATATATTTTCTTATGTCACTATTAATTGCGTTTTATTCATCATTAATAGTAAAAGTGGAATATGCATCAGCAGCTAGTTGAGTGAATAGTGGATTTCTGAACCACATAGAATTATTACATGGCAAGCATTGGTAATTTGTTACCAGTAGCATTTCAACAGTTAGTTATCAATAGTTAGCAAAGGAATATGTGCATATGACTGTACTACTAACTATGTAGTTCACTGTAATGAATGTTGAAAAGCATGACCTCACACATGACATTTTATGCCAATACATGTCGAAATGGACTCGTACGTCGCATTTTATGCCATTTCTTAATGCCAGTGCCGTTCCAGACTTGTTTAGTTCAGATCATGTCTGTGATATTGAATCAGAATGTTTGACACGTATTTATTGTGTGTATGCCATGGGTAAAGATACTGTTTAGGTCTATGAATTTATGAAGCACAAGTTCTTACTAAGCTTTTTAATGTTAATTCAGCAGTTGCACATCATCTTCAAGGCCGCTACTGCTTTAAACATGTTTTTACAGTCTCTAGCGAGAGGCAAATTGACCGCCGTGCATTTGAAGTCTGGGATGAATTATTCCAGTGAATCTTCCAGGGGCCTCTAGCGAATTTGTTGTACGTTATTGGGAAATTTGGACCGTTTACTGTAGAAAGCTGTGACAGGAAATATTGCTCTACTTCCCCATGTCGACTGTTGTGGCACCATATTCTCAGTTCCATTTAAAGGTAAATACTTTAAGCAGCACGAGTTTGTCCAAACAGACGGACAGATGACATTTATATGTAGGTCATCATACGGTTGTCGAACAGAAGCGGTCGGCCACTGTTGCTCGGTAGCTTCGAAAGAGCTTCTTCTTTTACTCGTACTTATATTTAGTTTTGGTGGCTCAGTAACATTTATATTTGTGCCATCTGTGGTCAAAGTCCTGTGCTGAAGCTGGCTGAAGGCAAGAATGTGACAAATGTCGGACGGCTTGTTTAGAGGAGAGTTTACATGTAGAAGAGGAAATGCTTTCCCTCAGCTAAATTTGTTTCACTCAGCGTTGCTTGTAGTTCCTGTGCCAACTACAATGTTTCCTGTAGAAAGATTTTCAGTGTGTTTCTCAGCTTAGTCAAATCATGTGGTTAGAACGATCATCTCAGGTGAACCACAGAGATGTGAACAACCTTCTGTAAGCATCATTATACTCACTGTTTCCTGCATTGTTTTCACAACAGGAGGCCTATTTTGGGTGTGACAACATGCTTAACAGAGACTGTTGTACACACAGTGGTGTGAAAAAGTGTTGGCCCCCTTCCTGATTTCTTATTTTTTTGCATGTTTGCCACAGTTTAATGTTTCAGATCATCAAACAAATGTAAATATTAGTCAAATATAACACAAGTAAACACAACATGCAGTTTTTAAATTAAGGTTTTTATTATTAAGGGAAAACAAAATCCAAAACTACATGGCCCTGTGTGAAGAAGTGTTTGCCCCCCTGTTAAAACTGTGGTTTATCACACCTGAGTTCAGTTTCTCTAGCCACACCCAGGCCTGATTACTGCCACACCTGTTCGCAATCAAGAAATCTCTTAAATAGGACCTGCCTGACGAAGTGAAGTAGACCAAAAGATCCTCAAAAGCTAGACATCATGCCGAGATCCAAAGAAATTCAGATTTACTTGCATTATCTTTGTGTAATATTTAAATTAGTTTGATGAGCTGAAACATTAAAGTATGACAAACATGCAAAAAAATAAGAAATCGGGAAGGGAGCCAACGCTTTTTCACACCACTGTATATGTATATATTAATGATTTATCTATCTATCTATCTATCTATCTATCTATCTATCTATCTATCTATCTATCTATATATATATATATATATATATTAATGATTTATATATATATATATTGTTGTTATTTAGTAGTAGAAAAATAATATTTTTAATAATCAGTTTACAATTTTGTAAAAATTATAATACTAATATTTATCACTGTCTTCATTTCATTTTCAAAAGCAAAACTATCCAGCTTTCAATGTTGCAGAAAATCACCTTTTCTTTTGTTGACAACAGACAGTTTTTTTAAGTGCTTCTCACACTAAGTTTTATTTTAATCGTGCAGCACTACATTTATTTTAGAAAAATGTTAAAATTTTATTGTGTCTTGGAAACCCAGTATGATTTTAGTTTTTCTAACTAGGCAAATTTTCATTTTTAACCAATTATTAATTTCAAAAAGTACATAATGTTGCAGAAAATCACCTTTTCTTTTGTTGACAACAGACAGTTTTTTTAAGTGCTTCTCACACTAAGCCATGTTACTATTTCAGTTTTATTTTAATCGTGCAGCACTACATTTATTTTAGAAAAATGTTAAAATTTTATTGTGTCTTGGAAACCCAGTATGATTTTAGTTTTTCTAACTAGGCAAATTTTCATTTTTAACCAATTATTAATTTCAAAAAGTACAAACATAATGGTTCTTGACCCATTTCAAGTCATCTCAAATTGAGTCAAGACTTGAGTCAACTAACCTGCAGTTCAGTGAGTCATTTGAGCTGATTCTGTAAGGTAATGATGCCTAGTTCACAACTTCACACTACAGGATTTTAAACCAGATTTGCAAGTTAACAAGCTCGCCGACAGGTCGGGCTGTGATCGGGGGGAAATCAGCGGGTGATCAGCGCTCCGCAATCTTTGAACTACTCAAAGAGGCTCGCTGACACGTCGCCGATGACTCGCCGAGACCAAACGAATGTCTAGCATGCCAAATATCTGTGCCGGTTGGCCGACTCGACATCACGTGATGTCAGGTGTCGCGACGAGCTACAGCCAGTCAGAGAGCAAGGCATGGGTTGAGGTCAGCGGAAGAAAAATAGCAGTAGCAACATGGCTTTAAGAAAAGTTTGCGAAATTTTTCCGAACAGATCATCGCGCAAACAGCTTGCAGCACAAATTTCTTCCCGATATCTATTTTCAAATAAACAACTCCTGTTTCACTTGTTGTTTCAAGTCATTCCCGTTCAACTTCCCGCGTGTGTTTTCATGACAGAACGTGGTTTGGGGACCGTGAGGAGTCGTTGGGTGACAGAGTTGTTGTCAGTTGGTGTAGTGTGTGACCCCCTGTTGTGGATCATTTACTTAGTGTCACGTAGTGTGAACACCACAACGACTTCAAGACAGACAGCAAGTCAAGTAGTCTGAACAGCAAAGCGATCTGCCGACGTTTAATGTTGTGTAGTGTGAACTTGGCTTGAGTTGTCTGACTGATTCAGTTTGGTTTGATTCAAACTGATTCACCAATAACCGATTCAGTTTATGTAGTGGCTCATCTGAATAGTGGTGTAGGAAACTCTGTATCAGACTCTTAAATTGCCACAGTTTAAAAAACCCCATCTATGTTAGCCTAAAGATATTCAGCTGAGTACAGACTGGATTTTGAATCTCACTCCTCCAGCAGATAGGTAGTGAAGCAGCTATTGACACGTCACGATGAAGAGAATAAAGTATAGACTATATCATTCTCCTGCAAGTTCCTGTGGAGTTTCTCTTTTTGTTCACCCTTCTTGACTTTTCCTGCTTTCTTGTCTCATTTGACACTAGTGCTAGACATAAACGCTATATATATATATATATTATTTGATATATATTGTCCAGCCATAACACATACATGAAATGTCACATTATAAATTTAGCAAAACAACCAGATTTTCTCATCTTGTTTAGTAGTCTTAGTTGTAATCATGATTGTTAATATTCAAAGCATCCCAGAGAAAAAAGGTTAAGCAAAGCTGCTGATTAATTTATGTGTCATCATCATCGACGTAGGATGATTCAACGTTGCGTTGTCTCCAATTATGTTCAAACTCGCCAAGATCGGCCCTGTGTTGTTCTTTTTGCCATTTTAATGATAGGGATAGTTAGAGAGCAGACAGGAAATGACAGGGAGAAAAGAAGGAAGCAGGAATTGAATGACACAAGCCAGATTCCAACTTGTGTCACCCTAATTAGAGATATTGTCTCTCTCAGTTTTGTTAGTTTATTTGTATATTAGGCTGTTTATTTGGGTGTGTGTATATATATATATATAGACCTGTTATCTATTTTTATTATATTTATATTTATTTTATTATTTTCTGTATATATTAAAGTGTAACTTATTGCTGTGATGCGCAGCTGAATTTTCAGCATCATTACTCCAGTCTTCAGTGTCACATGATCCTTCAGAAATCATTCTAGTACGCTGATTTGCTGCTCAAGAAACGTTTCTGATTATTATCAATGTTGAGACCAGTTGTGTTTTTTTGTGGAAACTGCGATATTTTTTTTTCAGTGTTATTTGATGAATAGAAAGTTCAAAAGAACAGCATTTATTTGAAATTGAAATGGCATTACTTTTATTTTAAGTTTTTATTATTTTCAAAACAACTCATGAAAGCTCAAGAGAAATGCTTTTGTCAAGATCTATTTTGCTACATCAAGATCACAAGAAAAATATGTCTTGATCTCAAGAAAATAAGACTGAAAAATAATAAAG